TWWRTGTTTGACTCATAACTTTGCCTTCTATYATGCCAAATTAATGTTCAAACTTTACCAACTTTTAWAGCAATCWTTTACMATATTTACATATGATGTGTTTCGTATTTTATGCAAATAATGCACTGTTTTCRCAAAAACTCGATTTGTTGGGTGATTCGATTATATAAACATGACAAATAACATTGTGAAGTTTCAAGAAATTGGTTGGAGCGKAAGTACTTTTTGCTCATGTTATTTACAGTTTTGGGACTTCAGCTCCAACGGATTTCTTRAAACTTGGCAAGACTATGTCWTACGGTTTATCTAAATGGATTCCAAAATTTTATCCAAACAGGCTAATTTTCRGGCAAAATAGAGGTTTTATGAAAACATTGCCTATGTTAAATTCTTCGTTTTCAAGTTACGTCATAGCGGCCATCTTGGAGGAACTTCAACAAAGGATTTCTCTTTAGTATCTATTGTTCATTCTTCCAACTTGGCCGCCGGTCTTTTATCTTTTGAATMTCATGGCAATGGTTGAAAACGATCAATAGCACGYCATTCACTTATTACTTGCATAAAATGCAGTCCGAATATAACATAGTACAGGTGATTGACTGTTTTTGATGTTGGTTAGATTTAACAGTAATAGGTTGAAACAAAGTTATGATTCGAACATCAAATAATCGATTCTGGATTTTGCAAATTATGATCCAGCATTGCATATCGAGGCCAAAACGCTGAAGCTYACGTTAATCATCATCTCGCTTGCTTTGATTCAGCACGTCTGGAAATCGCCGTTTGAAATAGGCTTAAGTTTACAATAACTCCTGATTGGTCGAAGTCTTTGTGCTGCGATGTGCTCTTTCTACAGATATCCCTCACATCGCATAAACCATTAAAAAACATGCTCTTTTAGGCCATACTCATATACATCTTACCGTAAAGACAAACGATAATAAAAAGTAAGATAAATTAATAAAATAAAACAAATTAAAATAAAATAGGATATAATATAAAGTAATTTTTAAAAAATYGGCGAAATCTGCGTGGACAGATTCGTGACATTTAAGAAGTTATTTTTAACTATCGTAAAATGAATGTTCTTCTAACCGAAGTCATTTTGAAGGAAAGGAAAACCGACTTGTTTGTTTCCAAGAGATTAATGACGATAGCTCTMTCACTTTGCAGGTTTATAAATCACTCTGATCGGGTCGGCAACAATTCTAATCTATATTCTACTAATTTATTAAGATATTTTTTTCTCGAACGACCGAATCCTTTCAATATGCTGTGAGCGAGACACAACAGTATGGAATGGCCTAATTGACTATTATTCGCTGCTCAGTCTCTAAGAGACGCTAAAAGTTTATATAAAGATAAAAAGTAAAAGCAATCACTATATATATAGCTTTGTCAGTATTCTTACAATGCAAAGAAATTGTAAATTGTATGATTAATTATGTACAATATATTCACAAGGGAGATGTATTAAAAAATACTAGAAATCTCGAGAATGTTCCCAGTTGTTGTTCTTTGCTCAGAATCGCTCGATGTTTTTTCAAGAGCTTGTTGATGTACGTTCACTCGTTGTGTGTTTTTAATGGTCTTATTCAAGAAGTCTTATTCAAGAATAGATACCGTGATGGTTTTYATATTGTAATGCAAATTAGCCATGCGGTCTTCCAAGGGGCAAACATTAGGGACTGCGCAATATTTAGGGATTGAGAATCCAGAATGGGTAGGGGGGGGATCTATCAACGTCTAAAATTAACTAGGACTTTTATTGAAAACTGAAAAATCAACACTAATTGAAGTGGAAAACTTCTCAAGAAAAGCGTGCCTAATTTCTTCATTCAGGAATAATAAATAAAGAAATGGAACGCTGCCATCTTGCTCATTTGTTCACTCAATTATCAATCCCAAAATGCATTGACAAACGAGTTTTCCCGCGGTTCTTAATAAGGACCATGAAAATCTTATAAATGCAAAATTCTCATCATTGTACCCAACTTCCCGTCCCAACGGAAGGCTCTTGATAGACACGATACCTCAAGACCCAAATACTGACAGCGCACGAGGATTTTGAACCAATCATCAAAATCAAAGATTGATTTGTCTCCATCCAGAGCCTGAGAAGAATCTGGGTATGACATATCGAAAATAATTAGAAATGATGATACTACATTTCGACGCTCTATTTATTTATTAGTAAACAGACCTTGACATGCTTGATGTACATTAAGGAATTGATTATTTACATGACTTAACCATCTTCTAGAAAGCATTTCAAAAACAGTCGTTCAAATTCTTACATCTATTTAAGCTTATTTACATTGATTATGTATATGTAAATATGTACATATCTCATTACCATAAATTTACAAGAAAAGAACAATTAAATTAAGAACTAGTTATTTAACAAATTTATGAAGATTTCTCGTGGTCAGTCTCCTTATTTACCAGGGTTGTATTTTTTTCCACAAAAAAAAATGTTATAAAATATAAAAATTTTATAAAATATTATAAAATTAGACAGTGGTATGTAATTTTGTTTACCACGAAATCGAGAAAATTTACAATAGTTATTGTACAGAGTAGGATCTATTCATATATCAACATGCATTGCCAATTTACAACTATTGAACTAAAATGCTTTTACTATTTACACTATTCCTACAGTCGAGCCTACCTCCCCCTAACAAATCGTCCTTCGTACTTCTGCCTCCCCCTTTACAAATCCTCTTTCGCACACCCCTGTCTTCCACAACAAATTGTCCTTCGTACTTCTGCCTCCCCCTAACAAATCGTCCTTCGCACAGCCTCCTTAAAACAACGTCTTACTGTACCTTGTGCTACACAAATTTCAAGGGCTTATGTTTACATGCCTTAACATAAAACGGAACACTGTAGTCACAAACGGAAATAGAAGCATCAACAGGGCAGCCTTAAATGACGCTAAATTGAAGCCCATGAGCTGGATGCCACGAGCATCGCTTATTATAGATTCCCATTCGTTGATGTCGTCCATGTTTTGAAACATGTAGGACTGTTCTTTTTGTTGTCCAAACTTTAGCATGCGGATAGYATCGCGTATTTGCCGCATACACTTGTCAACTTTTCCAATCAAGACCACAGGAAGACCGTACAGCAAGACTGTCTCAAGGATATCCGTAAGTATCATCATGGCAACTCTGATAATCCCCTCCGTATTCGTGTGCTTTTCTGAATAATGTTTGGCATTTTTATTGAATTTGTCCATCCAGGAATCCTTAGTTAGGTTTCTAGATAGGTACTGATGGCGGCCAAACTGGAGAAGAGAGGCAGAAGTGTTTTGTGCAAAGGCCATTTCAGTTTTGGCTGGTAAAGCGGTTGTTCCTAGTGGTATGCTGTCRCCCTTGGTGAAAGTATTAGTGTAGCTTCCTTGAGCTTCAAACTGTTCGACGCACGATATTGTCAGGGGAATAAGCAACACCAAAAGGATGATGAAGTGCACCAGCAGGAAGGGTTGGAAAGACCTCTCTGCGTTCCTCACCATTTTACAAACGTTGATGTAAGAATCCCTTGCRAACCCCATGCACTCGCGAGGCCATTTCTGGATCTGCTCYTTGAATAAWCSCACTTGACAGTATATCAGGTACACAGTCAAAATGAACGCGAAGACAATCGATAGAGACATAGGTCTTACTACCAATGAAATARCACAGCTTATTACGATGGCTTTGATGCTGTAAGGCGTTCTTTTAGTGTTTTCCCTGTTTGTCAGCGACATCTGTGCGGTTCTAAAAATCGCGGGTACCATCACAGTAAATAGAAACACCATTAGAACCATGATGATAAGCATCTTGCGTCCATATTTCCAGTACCTCTTTGTAAGCCTGACATTGGAAAGCATGTTCTCCAGGTGTCTGGACCTAAAGTAAAATATCCCTACTAAGTAAAGAAGGGGATATTTAGCATTGAGGATCACATTCTTAACCGACGTCACGAAATTGTCCCACTGGCTGTCAGTCAATGTTCTCGTTGCGTGAAAGGCTCCCATATCATATRYTATTGCGATGCACATGCCGAGCATAACAAAAAACTGACCAATGATAAGAACAGTCTTAAGCTTGTCTGGGTAATGGCGAGGAATCCTTTGCAGTGTCGCCAABAGGAAGAAGCTGACGAAGAATAAGGCTTTCGTGTCGATATTCAAGTCTATTATAGCATCCCCTTTGCACGGCTTTCGATCATCATCTATKACTATGGCATCTTTCTCTTCAAAGAGGGAGTCATTGTCATTTTCTTCTTTAACAGAAACGACAATAAAGTCTAACAGAGAGCAAGTATCTTTTACTTCCTCCTTCTCTTCCATGGAGTTTCCTTCGTTTTGTTCATGGCCTTCTTGTACGCTATCAGTCTCACCTTCTTTCACTTCAAATGCCCGAGAGACATCATAAACTGGGTTTAAGAGGCCAGGGATGTTGCTCGCCATCGTGCAGAAGTGCGAAACACTCTTCCTGCAACTTCATAAATAGAGTAACGCGATGACGTCGTTACATCCAGGTTACATCTGCTGGGTATTCCCCTTGCCACCAATACCTTGATAGGTTAACTACTACAATCATCAGCGTACATCTCAACTATTAATAACTTCACAGGATGATAAATACGGAGTTGCTCGTTTTACCTGAAATTAGCATTTTGATTTTTACTCTGTTTTATGTTTGTTTTTACACGCATGAACAAAGAGAACAGCGTCGTATCAGTCCCGTGATTATGCATATTATTCACGATTATTTGGGGTCATTGGGTTATCATGACACAGCCAGGATAAAATTCTGGGAACTGGGGGAAAACCCCAAGGGTAATCCCCTTGGTTTATCAAAACAAGTTAAACAATGCTTGTCTAAAATGGATCGATTTAGGGATGGGCTCGAGCACGCAAAATCGAAACTACTTGCCAACATACAGTCGAAAACTTGATTGAAAACTCACGAATTTTCAAATAAATACACAGTGTACGCTATATTATTTACAAGCATATATTCGGGAACCCAGCTCGGGAATCTTCTGACTCTCGTTTCCCTCTCTCAGAGCCTAGAGGAAAGCGGACAAACGATCTCCCCGTGTTATCGCGGTAATGATCTACATCGATTCACGGGACCTTTAGGTCGAGATTTTCTTTAAATTGTCTTTTTTTTYTTGAAGAATAATGTGCAATCAAATCACACTGACAACTTTAATTGAGTCTTAAAACCAATTACCACAACTGCTACACATCATTCAACCGTCTYTGTATAAGTATTGTCTGTCTGTCTGCCTACTTTTCTGTCTGTCCGTCCTCTGGTAGATATCAGTAACAATTGCTTTATTTATGCCTCCATATTAAGATGATTCGTCTATTGTTTCAAGTTTTCTTGGTCCATAAAGAAGAACATAAGCACAGTGCCAGTCTCCTAGAACGGTAAAAAGGACAGAACATCAATAGTTGACGTGCGGCCCCTCTAAAAAAATATCGCAGGCGATTGCATGAAAACGAGTTCCTTYCATCAAAATGTAGCCTGCAGGGCCGCTATACGCAGGCTAATCAAAATCATAAACGAGCTTCTTAAAGCGCGCGCCTGTGATACTATCTCTCTCAGAAGGATCTTCAAGTGTACGCCAGTACGCCGCAATTCTTTTTATATATCTTAAATAAATGATCTTCTAAAGCATCCTTGAAAAAAGGATATTAAGAAACGTTTCTTTCGTAAAGAAGCTTTTTTGGTTTTTATAAGCCATCCGCCATKATGATGCTGTTATYGCCACCATGATGCATTTCGCTGAAACATGCATGACGTCATTGTTTGAATGCGACAATTCACTTTACTTTTTTGYTATAACAAGGCTCACCTCCTCCAGAAAGCTTGAGAATATCTTCAGAATGAATGCCTGATATGTTGTCATCATCACACTTGTACCATTCGTCTACAAACAAAACAAAAACAAATAATTAATGATAATTAATGATAATTATATGATAATTAATGATAATTTTCTACTAATAATACTCCAMATTCGAGTTCAGGTTTGCTCTGTGTTAGCCTCAAAACCAAGCAACATATTCTTTTGTTTTATTGATAGCACGAGAAAAAGCATGGAATTTGAAAAGAAAGACAATAGAATTGATTTGAAATCTCACACTTTTATTCTCACAATTAGGAATAATTTGGTCACAAATGAGGCTAACACAGAGCATTGGAGAATACGAAACTGGAGTATTTGAAAAGGGAGACAATAGAATTGATTTGAAATCTCACACTTTTATTCTCACAATTAGGAATAATTTGGTCACAAATGAGGCTAACACAGAGCATTGGAGAATTCGAAACTGGATTATCATAAGATGAAGTTAAGGATGGTATCTATTATTCGTGTTATCTGCCGATGACCGACAAATCATCGGTTTACAGTAACCAGAGCAGCTTGATGATGATGATGATGATGATAGTTTCAGGGCAGTGTGGTTGATTAACAGGACAACTGGGTGCATGTATATACCTTCGTTTTTTCTAATCCAAGCGACGTAATGACCAGACGATGAAGACCGACCTTGGTGGGTTAGTACAGCTAACAAGTCATAATAACCACTATTATTTGAACCAATATCTGTGGAAATAATAATAATAATAATAGATCACTCTCACTACTCGCCTTTATCATTTATCACCAACCTGACAATCAACAATCAATCAATCATTAATCAACCAACCAACCTGACAATCAACAATCAATCAATCATTAATCAACCAACATGACAATCAACAATCAATCAATCATTAATCAACCAACTAACCTGACAATCAACAATAATCAATCATTAATCAACCAACCAACCTGACAATCAACAATCAATCATTAATCAACCAACCAACCTGACAATCAACAATAATCAATCAACCAACAAATAAATAATATGATCATCAATATAAATCCATTAATACCACAAATACACAGAAAAATTCCAACTTGTACTTACCATCAGGGAAAGAAAATGGTTCCAATTTTGTCTTCTTGTCGACATCCATAGGCTCTTCTTTTTGTTCCGGTTTTTCACCTTGATCAGCTTTGGCTTTCATTCCCTGTACAATTATTTGATTAACTAAACTATTATAAACTATTATTGTTACAAAAGATTCATCTAAGGAATAACTGGTGCACATAACTATATTGCTATAATACTATAAAAAAAAGAAAGAAAAAAAACTATTCTATTGTCAGGACCAAATATGATGCAAGACTGTGAAACATGGTACAGATTTSAAGACAAAATTTATTAAACAATTGATATAAAAAATTCATTTCGAAGCTGCTTAAAGGCCCAGTGTGCACCATTATGCTTTGGGGCCCTCRGGYGGCCATTTTYWGTTTACCRAAAGTCTATAAATTCTACTGTGCRTTTCGAWTCTCTGACCATCTCACTTTTCTAAGCACTTTAAACGATAATATTAGAGTTTTCAACCATCTTACATCATTTTATGGTGATATTTGGATACTARWAGTATTTTGGTGTAAATTATAACAATAACAGACGCATGAAAAGTATAATGGTGCAAACTGGGCCTTTAATTTTTCGTTTTTGGTCATAGCAGGGTGGAGTAGGTACAAGTTCTTTCCTCCATTGTATTCTACATTCATGTTGATTGTTTGTGGCGATCATTACATACCCGTGCCTCTTCTAACTTTCTGTCCTCCATTTCTTTGAATTTAGTTCGCTGAGGGATAAGCTTATTCTGAAGGTCTTCTGTACACAAGTCAAACACATCTAGCACAAGTGGAAATTTCACATCCTGTAAGGGAATTGCATTTTTAAAGTGATTAAATAAGAATGATTTAGGCAAAGTTAAACTATAGCTATCTTACGTCCCGGGTATTAGTGTAATGTGTGCCACGAGATTACAAATGATGTTTGAAGCCAAATATTTTCTCACGCAACAGACTGTATGCAAACAGACTAGCAAGCTTGCTCTACCTACGCATAATGCAGTTTTAAAAACCTGTTACTATGCAGACGCAAACAGGAAGTCATGACATAAACCCTYGCAAACTGTACGATCAGTTTACGCTAGTTGTATTGATGCAACACTTGTTTACATTGAGCACTCTGGTTTCCCTCCCTCCTCTATGGTAAGTAGGGGTAAGTATTCGCTAAGGCAGTGTGATGGTGCTAGGTGGGACAGCGTTGCCATGAGTAACCTTGAGGCTGTCTCTAAATCCTACYACCTACGCACCAACGCCAAGCTCATCTACTAGTGATGAGTTTTGGACAACAAACTGTATTTGCTCTTTTGAATCTTAAAATAATTGRAATAGTGACAGATATTGATAAGACTTGTGGTAATAGAATCAGACTTTGGGTCCAAGGACTGCGATTAAGATATTCAAGTACAGAGCARTAGCAACATACATAGCTGGTCCTGTTTCAGCTTGACCAAGGTTTACTTCAAAAACAATTCTTTTCTCATACAGCAAAACAATTAAAACATGAAAATGAGTGAGCTGACTGACGTTGTTGTTATCTTTATGTATTATGATTAATATTATCATAAAAGGACACCATAAAAGATACCAGATTATCTGGTAGTGGTCCAAAAACCTTTAAGGCACCATAAAAGATACCAGATTATCTGGTGGTGCTCTGAAAACCTTTAGGACACCATAAAAGATACCAGATTATCTGGTGGTGCTCTGAAAACCTTTAGGACACCATAAAAGATACCAGATTATCTGGTGGTGGTCTGAAAACCTTTGAGCCGCCTTAAAAGATACCCAATCCCTGATTTTTACACCCAAAAGATGGATGATCATCCCCACCCATTCCCATCCCCCACCCCCCAGGACAATGATTACCTTTAAGATTTTAGCATTCACTGCCTCTTTCTCCTTGAAGTAAAATCTCACCAGTTGAACTGGTAGATATGCAGGTAGACGACTCAACTTGGACTGAAAGAAACCAGATAAAATACTGAATTAGAAAACTACAACGCTGCATTTTCAAGGAATTGGTACAATCCACYTACAGCTGCTCATTTCTATATGATWGTATTCTAWCTATTATTATACCATGTAYGACGTTATCATTAAACATGAAATAGGGGAATAGAGTTCTAAAGCTTTTACATCACCTTCGAAATTTGCAATGCATTGTGGGATCAGCTTCAAGAGAAAATATAAGAAATCCACCATGTTCTACTGTCCCAAAAACATATCCTACAATGCATTGCATATATGGTATATGACATAAAARCTTCAGAGGTCTACTGTCTGGAATTCATTCTGAATGTTGGCTAAATTTTATTCATTCATTTTTTTAATTTCTATTTACACCACTCACTGTTTTTGTATATTCCGCATCTCTGTTTAGTGTTGGAGAGTTTTTTGTGATGCTTTCTTTTAAACGCTGGAACAAAGATGATAACAAGAAACTCAACTAAACGTAGCTTGTGAGTAAATAATTAAAATKTCAAAACTTACACTTTGCAAGCCTGTGTGGATATATTTCACATCTACAAGTTAAACAAATCATTTTAATCCATCAACTAAGACTATCATATGCTAACATGGGTCTGATCATGCTTTAGGCTGTCTCAGGTTTAATACAGTTCAAGCTGTTTTAAAACATGGTAGGAACTAGCGGCAAACTAGGTGTGAGCTGCACCGGTGCACCRGTGTTTCTAAAGAAACCGTTGTGTAAAAAGATAAATTAAACACCGTAAAAAAGTAGGAGAAGTAAATTTTGCTGTTARCATGGTATTTTGTGTTCAGGCCAGTTCCATAGCATATGTGTGTGTGTACTGCCAAACAGCTCAAAAACTTGTACAGTACTAAACATAAGACAAGCCCTGTGTAGAGTCTAGACTTGTGTGATATTAGGGAAAAGAAGCACTGGGCCAAGAGGAAGGATGAGATATACCATATATATATCGTCTCATTCTATTGTCATTCAYCACATTCTATACTTATACCTTTTATCCATGCACATATAAGCTACCTCCTTTTGGCAATTTATTTATCTATACATAAATTCATTYTATTTTTTAGTCACTTTTTTCTCCCTTCCCTTTTCCTTTTTTTTCCCCCTTTTCTTACAACCACTCTCACAGACTATCTACCACCTACATAGAAAAATTGAGCCATGATTTACCTTGATTAATAAAGCAACTAAGCTGAAACAATGTTTCCTTTGATTTGACTTCCTCTTCCTCTGGAGCCTCAACGCATTTCATTCTTTGTTAGAGTAAAGTTCAAATATCAAGAAAATAGATACAAAAAAAAATTATATAGCAGCTGTGAAAAGGTATGCATCAAGKCACAGGCATGACTTCCTGTGATGAGAGAATCAACGCTTGGTATTGACACCAAATGAAATTACTGATTCACACCACATGGTGTAGTCACAGCATGAAAATGCCGTCAGGGTCAAACAAAACCCCTCTAGACAAGTTCACAGTGATATTTTATTCTCAGTTTGTTAGACAGTAAGCAAGGATACACTGATTCTGATTCTATACCTAAAAAAACAAATGGAATATTAACCAAATAAAAATGATTTTAAAATACCAAATAAAATGCTAAATAATGAGAATAACACTAAATAATGATGATGATAGTAATATTAGTGAATGTTTATGATGATACTAAATAACTTACCAAAATATTGATCCATAAAACCTCGGCTGTCAGCAGAAGCTGCCTTCTCGTCCTTTCCCTCTTCTATGGCTTTCTCTTCACCAGGCAACTTTTGTTGTAGAATTCTCACAACCTGAGTCCAGCATTCATTGGCATCCTGTTGTTAAATTAAAATTTATAAAATTTTTGATATATAACGCKCDCTCTGATTGGCTGACGACCGTGTTTATATCAGAGAACAGAGACACGGCTTACCGGAAAAATTTTCTTTTTGCTCAAAAAATTTTATAAAAGAAAAAAACAACCGCTTGTGTCTCTGTCCTCTGATATAAACAGGATGGGAGTTGAAAAACACTCGAGAAGCAAGAGAAACACTCGCTACGCTTGTTTTCCTAAGCTTGCTTCTCTCGTGTTTTTCAAACTCCCAATGTGTTTATATCAGAGGACAGAGACACGTGCGCTGTTTTATATTTCTTAAATAATAATGATTTAAATAAATTATCAGAAAGCTAATATTAACATTTGATGGTTGTCAAACATTTTCATATGCTTACTGYTAGGTTTGAAAATGTTAACAACCTTCAATTTATTCGTCAAATATTATGGGATTATCATTATTTATCATTAATTATTAATAATTGTTAGTTGTTATTTAATTATAGCTCAACTTACCTGTTGAGCATAGACTCCTTGCTCAGTCTTCTCTGCAAATTGTGGAAATGCTTTATGAAGAATCTGTTCAACAAATGGTGAATGATATATTGTCTTAGCAAAGCTATAGCTGGATCTGTAGCCTCATCAACAGGCAAATCCTCATATTCCTCTTCTTTTTCTCCTTGGGCTTCCTGTGCAAAGRCTTTTAGTGAGGGGACTGAGTATCCCRCAATTCTCCCAAATATTATCACAGGAAACCCATGAAAGAATMAAAATGATWAGAGSAGRCAAGACTAAAGCATTAACAACCTACTTGTARGAATATTATTGGTGGCATTGGTTCTGAAGTTTTGTCCATACTTTTRTACAAGTCTCTTAGTGCTAACGTTACAGACTCTGGYGATCCCAGGCTATCACTACCTCCAAATCCAAGTTGACCTGGAAACCTGTTTGAAAATATTAAATCATGCTGGACTATACCCTGTTACTTTTATTGCCTTTTCATTAAAAAAAATCAGTTATTGAATGCAATCAAGAAAAAGCAACAAATATTTGCTATTTTGCTCAATCCATGAGCACTTGGGATAGGAGCAAAATGATTGAAATTATGATCTATATCAAGCACTACCTCAATTAAACTCAGCTCAATAAATTGTAAGAAATATATATCATTTCATGGAAAAGACTTCATCAAAATACTCACTTTAACAAACATGATTTAAGTTCAGGTACATTGCGAAGACACTGGACTGTAGCATTCATGTAGCAAGTGTTTCCAAGATTATTCAATCCAGCAGGCAAGTCATACTGAAAAAAAAGAAGAGTCAAATATTAATCAAAATCATTATGAATAACCCATGAAGATGTTCCTTTCCTCCATACTATCACAATGGCATATTTTGTATCAAAAAAAGATAATGATGAGTTTTTTAGAATTACTTACAGCAGATGCTAGTTGTGAGTCTGTCATATCCTCAACAAACATAGTTTTCTTTTTTGGTGCTTGTGGTAGAGCATCAGCTGATCCCATCATCATTAGTGTTATACCCTGTTCAATGTATCACAAAAAGATGATCCACACTGATCTTTAGATCAAAAAACGAGTACAATTTAACCTGATTCCTATACTAGRCTCAGCTTTCTCAAATCCAACATGGCATTCACTATAGAGTAATGGTGTTTGTAATACAATGTAATGCTGGAGAAATAGAGCTGTCTGGGGACAAGGCAAAGTACAAGTATTTCACAAATGGAGCAAAATCCTGAAAAACTGATGAAAGCATCTAGGTGTCAATTTTCTGCATTTGTTTCCAGTCTTTTCCTTGACTGTTTAGAAAATCATCCAGAAAATTTTCAATGCTCAGTGAATGGCATTTTGTTCAAAATGGCAGGAGCGTTTAATGACGACAGTATAGCAAAGTATACTCACATTTTTAAGCTTGAAATTTCCCCATCCATCATCCTATAACATATATTCACTATTAATGTTACATCATGAGCTATTCTTTATGATTTAGAGTTATAAAAAGCTGTAAAATAGGAGTAGCCCACTTTTGAATGAACAATCAGAKTGGAGATGACACTAAGACCCRTTTCATATGTCGATSTTTCGTCGAGAACATTTTGTACTCTGAATTTAWGAGTGTACAATAYATTTKTTTACTYCCTGTATTGATTGCATTAAAAATGGAATTTTACACTTCTTCAAAAACCTATTCCATTCTACTTGCTACAGCAGACTTCATTCTTATCATTCCATTCCAGGCACTTCATGACAAACTGACTGAATTWATGCTGACTCATTATAAAATCCAAATTTTGAAATAAAACAAGTATTTGAAGCACTACAGTAGTTTCTCAGCCCCCAAAATTTATATGCCTTCAAAGGCAAAGGAAAAGAAATCATTTTGAAATCACGTCAAGCTTTATTAGGCAATTGTACAATATTGAACTAAAATTTTAATCAAGTTGTACATTAGAAACTTGTCTTTTTAAATCTATTTAGCAATGATTGAAGTAATAATGATACCAAGTTAGATAGATAGACGAATAAGTGAAGCACCAGTTAAGTTATAAGTTAGCTTAGTGAGCAATTTAACCGGCGAAGTCTGAAAATTATGCTAACAATTACAAATTAACAAAGAATGTATAAACCAAGACGGTATGAGACACAAATTACATACCTTAAGTACTGCTCCCTTTAGCATAACCTTCTGCCTCTCTGGAGGAACAGAGGAAAGTGCAAATAATTGTGCTTTAAAAACATCGGTTGGCTCTTCTGTGTTCAGTTCCACATTTTCAAACTTTTCCTTTCCCCATTTGATATGTACTGGAAAATAGAAAATAATTCACGTAAAATYACATAGTAAGAAGTCTCGATTACGGAAATTTTAGATGACTAGCGATTACCTTTATACACAGGCATACTTTAGTCCAAATTTAGATCAAAATTTGAAAATAACTTCAAACACGAGATTTTTGACTTTTTTCCCTYATAAGTATGTACGCTGACTATAATATTCGCCTGCTCAGTTCTCATTTCTATGACTCCRCGGCCGAACAAGGAACGCCTGTATGAAATCGTTCAAGTGGATAACAATTTAAAGTATTTCTTTAGATGACTATTATTTTGGTCATTTAGAAGCTATGGTWAGAGTTACTAATAGGTTATTGTCTCTTCATGGGAGCTGCATGTACAATCTGCAAATCTGGTGGAGATTCATACGATTTGTCGCGTGGACATAAAGTYAAACAAATTGATCCCCATCGGGATGAACAGAGACAAAGTTCTGTCGAAACAGCTGCTCGGCGCCAAGAAACAAACTGTGCYSATCGAGATGTAGWGGATTCAAGCTCATCAAAAGATGTTAACYTGGAGGAGGTCGAAAAAGCTAATCATCAAGTTCAAAAAGAATCAAAAKCTGAAGTTATAAAAGTTGTTGAAGAACTTTCTGTGGTTGATCATGAGTCTAAGATGGATTCTCAAACATCATCGACAAGTTCTTCAAAAGTTGTCAAAGCTGGTCACTCGAAAACATCGCAAAGTGATTTATCAAAATTAGAGGGGATGACTGAAGATGAAGCTAATGACATCGTTAATAAATGTTGGCAGAATATTGAAAAGACCTGTGTTGCAGATGTTAAAACAACTCAAAATACTAAACCTGCTCCACTAGGATGGAGAGTTATTAGGYTATTTGTGTCATCTACTTTTACTGACTATCATGCTGAAAGGGAGCTCTTAGTGAAAAAGGTATGTGCAAAGCTAACTCCAAATCTTGAAATTTTCCTTGCTATGATAGACTAACATGCTATCATGTKCATTCCCTATACCCAATTGAGAAGTAAAACTTTTGTCTGTAAGAATTTATCTATGAATTAAGTTAGGATACTATGAACATAGAATCTTAGCCCCCAGAGGTTTGAATTTAGTGAAAAAGATAAAAGTTATTTACCAACATTAGGCATGACCTGTCTGTGTGGAGTTTAAAACACAAAGCTCTTAATTATAAAATTGTTATAAAGTATATAAATTTATTGACAATGTTTCTTATTGATTTTTACTTGGGCAGGTTTTCCCAGAGTTGCGTGAATGGTGTGAAGAGCGTCACCTCCAGTTGATTGAGTGTGACTTGAGGTGGGGTGTTCCTAAAGACACAACCACAGCCATGACTATTAAAACATGTTTGAGTGAGATTGACAGATGCAAAGAAGAATGTAATGATTCTGCATTTTTTCTTAACATGCTGGGAGAAAGGTGGGTAAAAAATTGCAATTCAGTTAGATAGAAAAAACTTTGGACTTTGTATAAGAAATATGCAAAACAATTTTATTATTATTTTTATCTGTGATTACAAATTATGTGTTGCATAGTTATGAATTCATATTTTTACAGGTATGGATGGATGCCAAGCGAGGCTGATATTCCACAAGACATCCAAGATGRCTATCARTGGATATTTCCTGTRTCTATAACTCACATGGAAATACTTCATGCTGCATATCGTACCAAGAACCCTAATGCTGCCTTCTTTCTTAGAGATCCTGGATTCATTGCTGATCTTCCCCTTGCAATGAAACCAGCATTTGTTGATGAATTTGCTCTCAATAAAGCATCRCTCAAGGTATTGACAGGGAATATTTAGTATGACTACTCTGCTTTCATTTAGGAACGGCAACGTTTTGTCCAGAATTTTATATTGGAACATWATAGGCTGTCTTGTTTAAACTTTCAWTAAACTATTATTCTGGACCATCAGATGTTGAAGAGGAAATTGAAAGAGAGATTCCCAGACCAGGTATTTGAATATGKTTGTGAATATGATGGAACTGATGAATCTACTGGAAAAGAAAAGGTAAAATCACTCATTCATCAAGAACAATGCTCTTTTTTATTTATTCAGTTTCTTTTCATTCCTTTGGTTGTTCCATTTTCTTCCTTCAGTCGCCCACCATCAATCTGTGTTCATCATTCTTTATTTTGGTCGTCCTGTTCATTTGTTTATTTTTGTTTTTCTTAATTCAGGTTAAATTAAAAGGACTTGGTAGTTTTGGAGAGGCTGTTTTAAAACATTTTAAATCATGTATTGAAAAAACCTTCCCTCCCTCACAGCGTGAACTCAGTCCTGAAGAACAAGGTGATTTAATCAAAGTTGTGCTGTGTTAACCTTACCATTACAGTCAAACTACCTGAAGCATGAACTAGTGATCATTAATGAATTCAATATAATTGCACTTTTGATTTGATTCTTGAATTCAAATATTCATTATTCAAATGAAGTTTTAAATATTGAAAATTATTCAAACATGCAAAAACGAATATAGAATAAATGAAAATAATATGTACATGGGAAATAACTGTACATTTTCAAAATTTTGATAAGTTGACTAAACTCAATAACGGTCCAATATTTGAATCCAAGAATCAAATCAATAATGGAAATGAATTAATGAATCTCTACGTGTTGACAGGTAGACTGTAATGGGTTAAAAGAAATGTTGTTAATTTAGTAGCAGAAGACAGTTTTATTTGACAATTCGAATGACCCCTAAACAAATAGAGCTAGCAAAATATTTTGGAAATAAATTKTGAAAATTTTACAGCTGGCTGAAAAATCTTGGGCAGACTTAGTATTTCCCACACCTATAATTTTGCTTGCAAAGTTGTTCAAATACGGTTATTTGTATTTTCAGAGATTGTTTCCCAGGATAATTTCATTCAGGCAAGAGGTTCACTTTTACTTGGAAGAAAAAATGAGGTGGACAGTATCTTAGAGTTTGCAGCCAATGGTAGACTTCCTGGACAAACAGTACATGGTAATGTTTCTCCAATGTTACTAGTACAAGGTGTTCCGGGATCYGGAAAATCATCACTCATGGCTTATTGTACACTTAGGATTAAGAATGAGGTAATGACATTATGCATAATGATGATGATAATGAAACAACAATTTAATGATGTTTACTATGGGCATTTGAATCAAATTTGAGCTAAATTATGTTTACTGCTATTTGCTTCACTTTGCTTTAATTCGTGACCACCAAGTAGTGAAAGATAAGACCCAGTCATCAGCACAATAAATATATCAGTGTTGTATTAATCAATCTAATTCAAAAAAATGTAAAATTACTTGAAATCTGTTATAGACTGGAATCCTTCTCTTTTACCATTTTGTTGGTTCTGGTCCTGGGTCTACTGATGCCTTAAGGCTTTCAAATCGGCTATATAGGTGGCTTAAAAGCATCACAGACAAGAGTGGTCAGTACAATTATATTATAATTTAAGGCATGTTATTTGTATTTAGTATCAGAACCACTTTAATTCGCTCTAGAAACAGAGGATCAAAGAAATGAAGAGGAAGAAATCCCTTTGCATGAAATGCAGGAAAAGATGCAGAAAGCTTTGAAGGAGGTTGAAAAAATGGATAAGATTGTTGTAATTGTGMTTGATGCTATCAATCAGGTAAGAAGTTGATGTTTTTCATTTCATTCATGTATCCTGTTTTTCTTGTTTTTGTTCATTTTTACCTATTAAGCACATTCTACATATGAATCTATATTTATCAATATGTTTTTATAGTTATCTGATCTTGAAAGTGTCGAGCATCTCAAGTGGATTCCTGTGGAGATACCGAAGAATGTCCATTTCATTGCTAGTGCTGTCAAAGAAAGCCRTTCTTCTTTTCTACTCCTAAATGAGGAAAAACGTCAAGAACCTTTTGACCTGTTTGTTGGAGAGTTAGACGACATAGTTAAGAAGGAGATTGTAAACCATATCCTTGGAATTTACAATAAGGTACTCTAAACTTTTATTGATTTTACAGATGTGCATACAAGTGTTTGATCAGCAACATAAAAAAAACAAGGAAGATTTACAGTTGGGTCTTTTATTTTTGTGTACCATGGTACAGTTACAATTAAAATTTTCAATTTTATAATTTCTGTTAAGCATCTTTCACTTGTTTCTGTTTTATCTGGATTTTAAATATTTGCTTTTTATATCTATTTATAAATATCTCATTTTTTAGAAACTTGACGAGCAACAAATGGCCCTTCTTATATCTATCGAAGGAGCATCAAATCCATTGTGGCTTTCGCTATCATGTGAAGAGTTGAGGGTATTTGGTGTATTTGAAAGAGTGACAATGCATATACAAAGTCTACCTTCGTTTCTGGAAGGTTTACTGCAGTTCATACTGAAAAGGCTCATTGCCGAAGATGAGTTTAATAATGTTGAGAAGGTATTCTGATGGTTTAGCTATCCTTTAAGCTTCCTCTGCCAGATGCTAATTTTCTTGATTAGCTTATAAATTGTTTCCTTTCTATAATCTGAAAGAAAGACGCATTTTGTCATGGACTATAGAAATTATCATATTGTATTGCAGGTTTTATGTGCATTGCTTTGCATGAGCCTAACAGAGACAGAACTCAGGTATCTATTGAAAGATGATGAAACCAGTGATGATCCTCTACCAATGCTAAAGTGGGCTGTAGTCAGACGAACGTTGAAACCTTTTCTTAGGAACACTGGCCAACAGGGTGAAGAAGAGCGTCTCGATTTCTTTCATGCTTCCATTAGTAATGTATGCTTTTTTGTGTGTGTGGTATTTGTATGGGAAATCACTTTAAGCTAAAAATCATTGATTGACTACATAAAGAAATTGTCAATGACTGAATCAATGGGTTGTGTAAACTGAGGGGAGATACCTTCAACTCAAAATAAATTTACAAAGTAAGTATGAGATATCTCCCTCCAACAGTCTATCCTGTCCATGTTGACTAATAATGCAAGTTGCTTGATMATAACTATTTTCCTACAATTTGAAAAACAATATTCTATATTTTATTGTTTATGTAAAGCTTCTTTGTAACAACTGGGTAGGGAAGGTAATTGGTAGAGATCTTGTTATAATCATGCTTACGCTATCACCACTCTATCACAGATAGATGTATGGTATATTCAGACTGTTTAGTACCATTTCTATTCTTTTAGCTGGTAAAGGATTACTTAATGCCAGATCAAAGTGTGAAACRAAAATGGCATTCAAAAGTAGCAGACTATTTCCAATATGTCTGTAAAGATGAACGCAGGGCAACAGATTCAGTGGCAACACAGCTGAAAAACGCTGATGATAGGAAAAGACTTCTAGGTTTTCTCAAGAATGACATCCGTGCACAAAGGAAAAATCCTGTTTGGAAAAATCAATATTACAAGGTATTGTACCTGAATGATGTAAATGTGTACTCACTCTATTAAACAGCTACAATAGCACATCTCAGTTCAATATGTTATATATACATGTAGACGTGTTTGTGCAGCCAGAAAAGATACATTAGAGAGAAAAATTTTGTGGATCCATCATGGTGACATATATAATATGTAAAAATCAATCTCTTCAATGCTAGTATGCAATTATTGTCAAAATTTCTTGTGAAAATTCAAAGGTTTTTATGGCTAAGGCTAGGGTTTCATTCAAATGACTGCATKGCTATCATTGACTAAYARTMTTTTTTTSGATTGATAATGGGTGACTTTTCTCGGYGTGCTGTGTTGTATTATTGTTCTGGATACTTGGGCTATTCAGCTCACCCAGTTCAGTGTTTTGCCAACTACGTTTCGTTGCCATTTTGGTCAACTTCCTCAGGTCGTGTTTTCTTCTTCTTGCTTGGATCAAGCAAGAACACTGAACTGGGTGAGCTGAATAGCCCAAGTAGCCAAAACAAATAATCTTTTTTTCAAACAGAAGAGTAATACTTTTCCAAGAATATTTTTACTGTTCCATTGCATTTACTTGTGAAGACTACAATAAACTTGAATATTCTTGCTTGTATTTTTTCCATTTCTCAGGTCATCATGTGTGGTCGAACGATTCCTCGAATTGCGAATTTCAGAGAAGAAGTATCTCTTTGTCAAATGTGCAGTATGCAACACAAAGGCTTTGGTCAAATTGCTGGCTTGAACAAAGATTTCTGTGTTGTCTGTGGAAATTTTGTTCCTCCATTTTGGAGAAAGCCAGAGCATGTGGCGATGCTGTGTGAGCAACATAAACCTCGGCATGCCCCAGGCAAGAAAATGTGTTATCTTTGCAACAAACCTGCATTCTTCAATGCCCAGACAGCCTATGCCTGCATGATATGTTGCCCAACTGGCTTCCAGAGATGTATTAAAATGGTTACTTAATGGCACATTGATAACAAGTAGACAAATACTGTAGGCACATGCACCTGCTAGGAAGTGTGGGGGGGGGTACTCCCATATTAAAGGGGCTGGGGGTCCTTGTCTGAAAAGCACTGTATTGCAAAATTATGGGTGTGGCAGTGATGAAATTTCGCCCMCTATGAGTGGCCAATCAATAACCTGATATTTTGGCCAATTTTCTCAGTTTATTTGTGCTTTGACACTAGCATCAAACACTGCCTGCTCATATGAGTTTATAACAAAGTACTACAGGGCCATCTAATATCCTAAAAAGGGACACACAGCTCAGGTGGTGKGAGTTTTTATTCATAATCACCCCAAGTGGGACTAAARCAACAATTAAACACATAATAAGGACACTCTTTTACAAAGGGAGTTCTKAGACCCATATCCCTCACCCCCTGGAATGCACCTATCATGGACAGGTATACAATGTCAGTATTACCATAATAGCCTTTTTACTCTTCTGCTGCTCTGGAAACTATATTTTGATGTAGTAGAAAGTTAAAGATTGTTTTGGGGCTTCCTGTGCTCTCTATACAGTACAAAAAAGTCCAAAACACATGTTTTGTTGCATATGATGCCATTGTGAAATAAGGCCCTTAGGAATAATATTTTAGAATAGCTGATTATTATATGAAGTATTATGTATGCCCAGATTTATATTCAAAAGCACTTTCAATAAACCATAGCTCCAATCAAGCATAAAATTGTCTTTTTTGTACACAGAGTAATTTATGTATTACAATGAAGGGTGTTTTAAAATTAAAGAATGTTATTTGCTTTGGAGGTTAAGACTGCCTAAGATACCAAAACAGGAGTATGTATTAGA